GGTAATTCGTGCCGAATTTCCGTGTCAATCCCGTATTTTTTTGTAGTGAAAATCAAACAACAACCAAGCATTCCAACTCCCTGGATGGGGAGTTACCGTGCCTAGTGGAGGTCTCGGGTTCGAAACCTGCTAGACACAAAAAAGGGGAGCAGGGCCGGCCTTAGGAAGGTGGAGGTCCTAGACGAAAAAATTAATATTGACACATTATACTAATACTTCCTCTACCCTACACGGATTGTCTCATTCCTAAATTCTCACTAAGATTGTCTCACACCAAATGTTATAAAGTTGTGTGACTCTAAATCGTTTTTACTTTATTCTTACTTTATCAATTTCATATCAACCACATTAACTTACTTTTTTTTAAATAATCGTGACACCACTTCAAATCCCAATGTTAGTGACACCACTTCAAATCCCAATCGTGACACCACTTGAAATGCACATTTTCCAATTTTTTATATGCACGTTTCTGTTTTACATGATGCACAATGCTCAAATCCAACGCTCTAGAATCATTCTCATTTCTCTCCTAAGATGGTATTCTCATTTGATCCTTACCCTATATACATATATATATATATATATATATATATATATGTATTTATGGGAACTCTTCCGGTAAGGTACCTTACCGGAGCTGCCGTGCGGCCTCCACGTTTTGAGGGCCTTACCGGTGGAATTTTTCGATGAAATTTTTTGAGCATGTTCTTCATCAAGTCTAGTACATCCATACCAAATTTTAGAAAAAAAATCAATTGGAAAGGCAGTCAAATAATTTTTGGAAGATAACTGCACCCTTTATATACATATAAAACGCAGTTATCTTCCAAAAATCGTGTGACTGCCTTCCCGATTTAATTTTTTGCTGAAATTTGGTGTGGATCTACTAGACTTGATGAAGAACATGCTAAAACAACTTCATCAAAAAATTCCACCAGGAAGGCCCTCAAAATGTGGAGGCTGCACGGCGGCTTCGGTAAGGTATACCTTACCGGAAGATTTTCCTATATATACACACACATATTGTCATTATTTCATATAAGTACTACAATCATAATCATAGTATGTATTAGTTAAAAAATTACTTCAATTGTTTTCGAATGGGCTGCTAAAATTACAATATGCGGATTACTTTATTATGGGTATAACTACAGTATTTATCATACGATAGTACGAAGTATGTTCGTATTATTAGTTAAGTAATTTAACTTCAACTGTGAATTTCATTCAAACAAAAATAAACTCTGAATTAACCTTAAGCCAAAAAGATAAAGATGTAATTTAAGTCATCTGCCGGCAAGTTGAAAACTGACAAGGTGCAATCTACTTTTGGGAAATGCTATGAATTGTAATTGCATTTTTCCAACGGCCGGTTTGCTGACTCCCGATTTTCAGCTTGCAAACTATTCAATTAATAATTCGAGTAGTATCTAATACGGAGTACTCCGTATCACTAGTGTATTACTACACTAGTGATATTTGAGGCCCCCGTGGAATCCGAGGCCTTAGGCAATTTGTCTGGGTGAATCCCCCCATGACCGGCTCGGAAAGGAAGATGAGAGAGGTCTTGTTTCCAATGATTTTTCTTATATTCATAGGGTTGCTCAACGGCTAAGAAGGGAGAGATTGAAAAATTCGGCTTGAGTTTGCGTGGTGGGAAGACCCTCTGGATTCAATTAAAATAAAGGTGACAAGTAACTTTTTTATACATCCAAGTCACCTTCTTTTAACGGTTAGACGGAGACCCTCAAATTGAAAGCGCAAGTCTCACTTTGTGAAAACAATCACAATCACAAAACCTTGTTCTACTTATACCAAACTTTTATTTCAAACAAATATTGTGATGTGCATTGACTTTTTACTTGCATAATGTATCTCTCTTTGTTTATGGAATTACTAGAAAAACTTTCACAATGACATATAATAATATAATATCCAAATATACTTAATTATCCAAACACACACAATTAAGAACATGATATTTTATTTTATGAACTTTTACTTAAAATTAAATACGGAGTATGTCATTTTGAAATATTATAAGCGAAATGTCAATACTAGAACTATAATCCTATCCTCACAAAACATTTAGAGGTCGTTTGACAACTCTGTTGTTAGGCTTATCAGCCAACTTTTTCACCAAACAAGTAATTTTTGCTTTCGCGCGCTGAATTGTGTAATAAGCATAAAAAAGTAAGGTTGAGGTTACTTTTCAGACTTTATTGGCTAAAGTTACTGTAGAATGTAGATGACCATTTTAGCTAATTTTACATATATATATATATATATATATATATATATATATATTTTTTATTTTATTAATAAAATTTACTTTAATTTTTTTCTTAAATCAGTAGAATCAACCAATGCAGCCAGTTCAGCCAGAACTTCATAAATTTTAGCAGAATCGGTCAAATCAGCCGATTTTCGTGCTACCAAACAGACTTTTAACGTGATATATTTATATTTTTCGTATTTATATTATCATATATGCACGACAGTATTTACTATCTAAATATTTGTAATGACACTGAGTCTTTTTCAAAAATGTTGATTGCACTATTATGCAAACAAATTCAGTGGGTAGTACGGAGTACCACATTAGACGTCTTTTTGTAGTGTTGATTGTATGATTATAGTAATAAACTTGAGAAATGACACTTGATAATTAATAACAATTGGATATGTAATACTCTGAAACTTACAGTAAAAAAATCGACTTAATTTGGATGTATTATCCCGTACATGTTCATTGTTCACTGCAAAAAGAACTTGCAAAATATAAATGTGCAAAACTACAAAAGCCATTGCCTAAACCTTAAATATACACTGCATAAAAGTTTGTTAAACCCCAAGAAAACGAAATCGAGGCAAAAGCAACCACATGAATCATGAATATTACAGAGAACTTTTGTCTTCAGTCGTGGTTGACCGGAATCGTTGTCTAATTGCCCTTCATTTGAGGTGTTTTGAGGAAAAATTTATTAATGAAATTTTGAGAGAATGTTTTTTATGAAGTTTAGATTAGGTTAAAAAAATTCAGCTTAAAATTGAACCCGAAAATCGGTTAAATAAATTATCGAAAAATACTGAGTTTTTATATATATTATGGCGCAGTGCTTTTCAATAATTTATTTAACTGACTTTCTGATCGAATTTTAATCTGAAATTTTGTGTATTACACTTCATGACAGATATTTACAAAATTTTATCAAAAATTCCACCCGTAAGTATGTCAAATGAAAGCAGTCCGACGGCGTTTCTTGTCAATCTGGACTAATGAGAAAAGTACTCATATAACAAAAACAACAAAAATAGGCCAGGCTGGATTATAACAAACAACAAAGTGATTATCGGAAAACAGGCTGGTGATAATTAAGCATAGAAAACAAATCAAAACCAAAAAGAAATACGGAGTATAACAAAAATCAAAGATAATCTGTTGTTTCTATTTGGGACGGGGGAAAAAACGGAAGAGCTGAATAAAATAACAAAAATCCTATTCTTTAGCTCTGGAAGTTTGAATGTACTCAGTCTTCAGCTAATTCTTCACCAAACTCTCACGAAAATAGAGAAAACCCCAACAATTCTTATTTCATTTCAAAACTAGTTAACCAGTTTATTCTCCCAGATTCATCTTCATCACATGCATTTCTCCTGAAAGATCAAACCTTGAAATCGTTCATGTGGCTGCCAAGAAGGACTTCATAGTTTATACCCTCATCCAGGTATACTAAAAAATAAAAATTGATCACATTTTTAGATTTATTTGTTGATTAAATAGCTAGGCTCACATATTGAAAACTTCATGAGAGAAGTCATAGAAGCTATGGAAAGAGTTTTACCTCAAGAGAAGGGACTCATCTCTTGCAAATCTCTTTTTGAGATGTTACGTCCTGCAATATCATTCAATGCTAATCAAGAATGCAGAGAAGGGCTCGAGTTGAGAATCGGGAAACAGCTTGACCAGGTAACGGTCAAGGAACTACTTCTCATACCTCCTACCCCAGAAGAAAAGTATGACACTGAATGTCTGAAGAGGATGTTGAAGATTTATTATGACAACTACACGAGCCCGGAGTACTCGGGTTTCGTTAAAGTGGCAAACCTCATGGAGGAATTCTTGTGCAAGGTCGCGAGTGACATGGACATAAAAAGTGGACACATTTGCATCACTTGCAGACTTGTCTGCTTCCGTATCGGTTGAATCCAAACAGAGCTCTGATGGGATCTACCGAGCCGTAGATATTTACCTGGAGAAGCACAAATATTTGACAGATAAGAAGAGGGAGAAGGTGTGTGATGTTCCGGATTGCAGCAGGATGTCAGCTGAAGCATGCCAGCACGCCGCTCAGAATGACCGCTTGCCCATCAGGTTGGTGGTGCAGATCATGTTTGCAGGACAGATGAAGTTAAAGGACACACTGGGGAAAGAGACGATTTAGTCGTGTGGGGCTTTGAAGGTTGAGAACAAAGATGGAGGGGTGGAGTTGAGTGCAAGTGAAGATGATGATCAGGGGGTGAAGGCAGAGATTGAAAAGATGGGGGGTGTTGGAGTTGGAGAAAGAATGCAATATGATGAGGATGCAAATTCAGGAGAGGAATGAGAAGAAGAAGAGTCTGTGGAAAGAAATGAAGAGGAAGTTTGGGTGCATGACCACCATGTATGACTGCAACAACAGCCATGTGCAGAAGAAGAAAAAGGTGCATCCAAGATAGTATGTAGCAACCAGCATAGGATCAGACTCCAGTAGCTTTTTTCCAATAAAATTATATAATCTGTCATGTTATTTAGATTGGGTAAATTCCTATTTTTGTCCCTAAACTATGCCACTTGCCATTTTAGATCCTCATTAACTTTTTGTATCCCTTAGACCAGTAAGGAATGTAATCCCTATAATGAATTTAATCTTTATTTGTCACAAAGATGGGTCAAACTACCAGCAATGGTAAAACGGCAGATAGTTTTTGTAAAAAAGAATTAATTATAATGGACTAAAATTGTTGCAACTGCAAATACAATGAGGGACTAAAACAGTTTACCCTTTTTGTTCACAATTATAAATTTATAACTGAACTACTATCATTACTATCAGACTTGTAAAACATTCAACTAATTATATAAATGGCAAACCAATATTCTTACTGCAAAAGCAATCTCATACAAACAAACATTAGATTGTGAAACAGAGTCTTCCAAGACTTCAACCACTAAAAGGAAGCTGCTTTTTCTACAAATAAACAAAAACAAATCTTGATTTGGAAAAGAGCCTACTTAGGCAATGGATCAGTCTCCATTTTCCTCAAAAGAATAAACAGCCTCTGATCAAGCATAAATTTGTGCATGTTCTTGGGCGCACTGCAGAGCTTCAGTTGAAGTCCTCCAGAAGAAATATACACCACCCTAAGATGACAGCATCAACAAAATTCAGATCAGTGGACTTGCAAAACCAAAGTTATACATTGAAGAGTTATAGTAGTGGTATACTTCATGAACTGTATTTTTAGTGTATGCAAAGAAAGACTCAGTAATATATTACTCCGTAGTATAAAGTACTCTGTAACTCTTATCAGTGATTTATATGAAAAACCATTCTCTTTTTAGGACTAATATTGTGTTTTTTCTTAAATACCATATCAATGTTTTTTCTAGTTTGAAAGCACTCCTTCCCTTTTTTCCTTGCACACACTTATAGGGCTCCTTTAAAAGTGCTTTTTATTTAAAAATCAACCAATCCAAACACATACACTTTAGAAGATTCCTCTGCAACCTTATAGAGTAGCCCATGCATGATATACTCGAACTTGTCTGCCAGTGATTTCATCTGGCCCTGCAAACAGGTTTAATTTGAAAGGTAGCTGTTTCAAGAAAACTGAAGGCTTAAGCTGTAATTTGTGAGTCAATGTGTAGTAACATGAAAGGTAATTACATATAACTAAGACGAGAAACTGGTCACATGGTGATGCAACTAGTGACATGGAGCTTTAAGACATCAATAAAGTCGAGAAACTGAAATTATTTACACAGAAGTTTCAAACATTCAGTTCCCAAAAGAAGATACTTTTGGTGAAACTTTGGAGAATGAGTGGTTAGTGTCCAAAACTAAAAGACAAAAATGATAATTCATTCACTACAATCAGCTTGTATCATCATACTAAAATACTAAATCGGTGGACATCAGGAAAAATAAGATATCCCAGCAGGGATATATGATGTCTAAGTCAGGATGGACCAACTTACTGAGTTAGAAAATTAATTGGATGATTTTATAGATGCAACCAAGTAAGTAAAAGAATAGCATACCTGAGGGTGGTTTGTTGACCCATCTAAAGCAAGTGTCTGTGACAGCACCATCCTATAAACTTCTTTCGTCTTAACAGGATATAGCTCTGAGTTTATATCTAGCACCATATCTGTCACGCCATCTCTTGTCTTTGCTTCAATTCGAGAAACTGCAAGTTTTAAAAAGTTCATCAAATTAATAATTATAAAAATATAGGGGGCTTGATCCCCCCCCCCCGTTTTGACAAAATTGGATTATTGGACATTGGACCCCATTTTAAAAACTTAACATTTACACCCCACCTGTTCAAAGTTCATTTCGCCCAAAAATGGGGTACAAAGAAACTTCACTCATAAAAATAGAGATATGGATGTGATTAAATTGCAAATCACCCCAGATGTCATAAATCATCTTAGCACAATAGCACCTAGTTGTGGATGGATATTACAGCGGAATTAGACTGAGATTATAAAACAGTGAAATCACTTATCAATATATCTAAATATAATATCTATCAACCCCCATTCAAAAAATAGGGTGCACGCTGCACATATTGTCCATTCAACAAAATAGGATGCACATATTGTCTGAGCAATCAACTACAAAAGATAAATTATTCTTTTAAGAAGAAAAAAAGATGTTACCTTTGTCATACTTTTTCCCATCAGCATCGACCGAGACAATCTGGATAATATCATCGAAGTGAAAAGAAGACATCTTGACAGAATTTCCCTAAATGAGAACTGGAGAGTTAAGGGAAGGCTAAGCAGTAAAGAACCACACATCACCATCTGGGGCGTAGCCAGGATGGAGGTTCAGGGGACGGTTGTAAACTAAAAACACTATGTACAAAATTTAAACGAGTAAACAGTTCGAACATAATGAATTAATGATTACCAATAATGATTAAACAAAAAACCATTAAAATTCATAACAATATTTTAAGTACATACAATATGTGAAACCAAAACGTTAACTGAACACGACGTACTTTAACTCGGCCTATGCAAAAGTTGAGTTTCGTTTCGGTCCAACTTTACAAATGAAATCACAGTGACGCAGATAATTCACCAAAACTAGAAGAAATTAACTTTTTACATTCTAAAAAAATTCGTGTAAGTAAAACAGTCAAACACTCTATATAGAGAATCAGGATTTCAAGCTACTAGCAAGTAGCAACTTAAATTAAAATACATAAAAAAGTAAAAAATAGACACTTATGTGTTATGAGTTTATGACTTACCAGGTGCCTGGGGGCTGGGGCGACTAGCGGAGCTACAGAAGGCAGCCACAAGCTGAGAAATAAGATGGTGAGAAACAGACAACCACGCAGCAGAGGCGGGGCTGCGGCGGCGGCGTGAGACAAGTGCCGCGTGCGGGGCTGCGACTCGCAGAAGCGCCGAAGGGATTGCCGGTTTGGGTTACGGGAACTTCCTCCAGTCTTCCTTTAGGCGATGGGCTAGCAGCCTGGAACTGGGCCAGACTGTTAATCTCACTAGGCCAGAGTATTAGGGTCTGTTTGCAATCCATTAAAAAAAGTGCTTTTAACTTTTTTTACAGAAAAAAACACTTATTTTACCAAACACTACCAACATTTACTTTATCGGTTTCCGTGTAGAATCTAATTTTTACTTTTTCTATTACACAAAAAACACTTATTTTACCAAACACTACCAACTTTTACTACTAATCACTTTTTCCCAAAAGTGCTTTTATTTAAGCACAAGTGGTTGCAAACAAAGCCTTAATCTCACTAGGCCAGAATTTTGTTTCATACTTTATACTCCCTCCACGCCGGAAAATTCTTCTAGATTTGATTTGGATCAAAGTTAAAAATAGTGGAAATGTATGGTTTTGATTGAGTAAGAAAAAGGTAAATGAATGATAGCCACACAAATCTTTCCAAAAGGGAAATGGGAAGAATTCTTTTGGGACACCCCAAAAAGGTAAGTGAGAATAATTTTTTGGGACGGAGGTAGTATAATATTGTACAGAAAAGGAAAAAAATTATAATTAAAATTAGGGGTGGGCATAAAAACCGAAGCGGTACTGAATCGGCCTGTAATGGTACCAAACTGATTAACGGGTATTTAAACGATTTATAATTTTTTAATCCGAACCGAAGTTGTACCGTTTGAAGTGGTTACGGGTATGGGAACGGTTCTTGATTTCAGGAACGTATGTGTTGGGGTAATGGCCCAATCAGGGGGTCGGCCCATTATCCCCTTAAGTAGAGACCCACCAGACGTTCATCTCCAGGCTCCAAGCCCACCAGGGGCAGCTATCCTCAGACAGCCAAAGGCATCATCAAGGAACGTCTCATGAAGAGGACGCTCGGCCTCTGGAGCCTTGACCATGAAGACTAGCAAGTATACTACGGCATCTACAACCAAGCAACACGCTGACGACGCTCGGCTCCTGACCATTATCCTACACAAAGAGAAGGCCCAGCGCCCAAGGGGACGGTCGTCCCCAAAGTTTGGCGGGAAACCGAGATTCTGGCGGGAAGCGCATTTAATGCTAAAGATTTGATGGTTGGGAGCCTGGTCATCCACAACTCTCCACGCCAGTATATCCACCTGCTCCTTAGTAGTATAAGTAGTAGCATTTATTTCATTGTAAAGGGTTGGGAACATACTTGCCCTAGCATCCGCCCTAGCTTATAGCAGTATTCTCAGCTCTTCCTTAGCGAGAAAGACGACCGGCCTCAGGCCAGTTAGCATTTGTGTGTTGTATACGGACTCTTATTACTATTAATAAGATACGGCTCATTGTGCAGATATATTTTAGTCCATCTTACTTGCTTGCACATCACATATCCATACACTCTTCCACTCGAAATCTTTGGGTTACGTGTTGGGCCCCCGGATTGAAGGAATAAACCTCAACAGTACGATTCCAAATTATTATTATTTTTAACCCAGAAGGCAAACCACCAAAATCAGTGAGGTAAATGTCAGAGAACATTTACCAAGTTTTATTAAAATAGGAAAATGAATACACAAAGAGGGGAAGTAGGCCAAAACCTCTTTGGTTCCAAATTAAATCTTGTTTAGGCCAACACATATAACCCAATCCCAATTCAAAACTCTTGCCCACCTTAGTTTTAAAAGGCGCGAGACAGCACGAGGGCAGGGCTGTCTAATGAATTTGGAGGTCTCGGTTCTAAATGAAAATAGAGGCCCCATATATGAATAAAAATAAAACCACATACAATAATAAACTCACGTAGTTCAACAAAATTAATTGTGTTCAAGTGTTTATATAAAAAAGACATAATTTAAAATAACTACATAGTTATATTATATAATATAACTATATTATAATACTAATATTAAAAAATATTTGGGGCCCCCGATTTTGGTGGGCATTGTTTCAGATACATCTATAGAACATGCTAAAAACAGCCAAAGGAACGTTTTCATTCAACCGGGAAGTTGGTTAGATAAATTATTGAAAAAACATTGCGCTTTTATATATATTCAAATCGCAGTGTTTTTCAGCAATTTATTTAACTGACTTCCCTATTGAATTTTAAGGTGAAATTTTGTGGACATAAATCCAAACTTCATATTGAACATTCTCAGAAATTTATCAAAAAATTTCACCCAAAAGAACCTCAAATAGGCTTCTCCGTACGACATTCCGGTCAGACGCACCAGAGGTGAACTTCCCCTATATATTTTCTCGATTTGTGCTTGTCATCCGATAAAATTGGAGCTGTTCTGTGTGTATGTCTTACGCCGGTCTCAAAAATGAAAAACATGTCAATATAGAGCAACATATTCTGATTTGAAAATTAACTAGTTTTGATTTGTTGCAATAGATGTTATTTTACACTTGAAATAAATTTTATTAAATAGACATTGTTTTATTACATTTTTTTTGTTGCAACAGACGTCATTCCATTAAATTTTGGCCCCCTCCATGCGGCCATGCCCATGCTAGATCCCCTAATTACATACGGAGTATATACGGAATATTTGTTTATATGGTTTCTGTTTACCAAAAAAGGTCTTAGAGAACGAAATACGCCATGCATTGTGCATATAGACGAAGAACCACATTGCAACGTTCGTCAAGGAAGCAACGCTACGCCTTTAATTAGGTTCTTAGCTTAGCTTCCTTCCCCTTTTCCTCTTTTGTGTTTTTACATTTTCCTGATCCCTACCCGGCATAAAAAAACAATAAGAGTTCTAACAATAAAACCAGATCAGTCTAAACCATCATCATTATCATCAGAAAATCACATTCTCTATTCAGCAATCAGCATTAACGAAGAAAGATGAATTTTCTGAAGGTTATTGGTGTGAATTGAATATTCAATTCGAATCTCGTCATAACCGCCCCCCTCAAAATACATCAGAAACAACAAAAACCATTTAAGAGATCCAAAGAAAGAAGACAGAATAAGAGCAATGGAGGAGCGGCAAACTGACATCAGGGTTCCACTCATCTCATTCATGTTCTTCATCTTGGTAACCGCCGGAGGGGTGTTTCTTGGCATCTACGTTTTCTTTCCGGCGCAATCTCAACCGTGGTTTCTCTACGTCGCCTTCTCGCTGATTGGGTCTCCATGGGTGTTTTGGCTGGTCATGTATATATACACATGCTTCAAGCGCTGTGCTGATCGGAGGAACCTCATCAACCGTCAGATTTCCCGGCAGAGCTCATTGCCTGCCGCCACCGCTGCGCCAGAAATTTCCCAAAACTGAAAACTGTGAGAATAGCAACAACCACCCTACGGAAGCCTATGATGTGATCCTAAGAGCCTGCATTATGTCCTCTGTGTTTATTGTTTATTTTTCTTCTAATTGTTCTTTCTTATTGAGGATATATATAAATGTACACTATGAGATGGGTAAAGAATATTTCATCTTCGTTATACATTCACAGTATGTACGCATTGAGAATTTTTACCATTATGCTGATGCAAACTGTAAAAGCAATCTTTCTCAGCTACAGCAGGCCGCCCAGACCTATTCAACATCAGGACTGATAAAAAGAATCTTTTGTAAGTAAATTTTTACTATAAAATGAACATAATTGCGTTTTCTCAGTGAGTTCAAACTTTGGTAGCTTTTACATTGTCCATGGCAAGTGAGAATGGGGCCCTGATGGTGATCATCACTCCAATATAGTGGTACAATCGTAAAGCACATGATACTCAACTGTAGGTTAAATTTAGAAGGGAGCTGGGATCCTGTCTGGTTTAGCTGATATGGCTGCTGGATTTTCGGAAGGGAAAGTGTCGGGATTGTTTAGCTGATATGCTGCTGGATCTTCTGACGAGAAAGTGTTTGGTAAAATTATTTTGAACTAAATAAGTGCTCTTTGACAACTACTCCCTATGTTGTTTGCTTATCGGCCTTACCAGCCATGTTTCTAATACTATGTTCTGAAATGTTTAATCATGAAAAAGTTAAGTTTAGGGATACTTTATAGGCGGAATTTGCTGTTTTTTTCATATACAATTTTCTTCCCATCAATTTTTCTTTTTTTAACAGTTAAACATATTATATAAGCCATATCAGGCATACTTTTATCAAATTCAGCAGGTTGAGTCTCACCAAAGGGGGGTTCCAGGTCAATAACCTTCTGATGCTGGTTATTTGGTGTATTCGAAGGTATTATGTCACCATGTCACCAGTAAGATGGCAAACTCAATGAACCAAAATTCACAACGAGGACATAAAGTCTCTCTAACTCCTTGTAGATGTCCCCAGCTTGGTGGTGGGATTTGTCATTACACACAAACTGAGACAAACACCCATTCACTTCGATCCAACTACACCCAGACTCCTTTCTGAACCGAAGTTGTTTCAATTCAGTTCTGACCTTGGACACACTTTTCCACATCCCTCTTGCAGCATACGTGTTCGATAAAAGAAGAGACAGAGAAGGAGAAACTGTTCCAAACTCCTTTGCCACAAGATCACCCAACTTGTAATCATCATACACTCTGCAACTACTTAATAAGGTTTCCTGAGCATACATTGGGACAACATCAGCAGGCAGTTGTTTAACAAACTCAACCGCTTCTGTTAAAGAACCTGATCTGCCAAGAAGATCAACCATGTATACATAATGTTCTTGTTTGGGCTCCAAATTCCATCTCTTTTGCATTAAGTACAAATATTCCCAGCCTTTATGAACCATCCCAGAATGAGCACAAGCAGCTAGAAGTCCCATGAACGTTATGTGGTCCGGTTCAAACCCATCTTGGACCATTACGTCAAAAAGAGTGAGAGCTTCCATGGCAGAACCATGGTGTGCTTGGGCCACAATCATGGCATTCCATGCAGCCGGGTCCCGTTTTTTCATATGTTGGAACAAAAATGTTGCCACATCTAAAAATCCACACCTAGAGTACATTGAGATCAATGAGCTCAGTGTCATGATATCTTTTTCAAGACCACTTTTTATAACACTGGCGTGAATTGCACGTCCACAACCATGGATAGCAAGAAGTCCACATGTTGATAATACACTTGGGAAGGTTCCCTTGTTGGGCTTAATCCCATCTTGTAGCATCTTGACATAATACAACAGAGCTTCCTCGTTTTGGAATCCAGAAATTATTGTGTTCCAAGAGGTTACATCTTTCTTAGGCATCTCCGTGAAAAATCTTGTGGCGGCATTTGGATCGCCTAGTTGGAGATAGGCAGATAGGATCAAATTCCATGAGACAATATCCCTTTGTGGCATCTTGTTGAAAAGATCAAGGGCCTCTTGAAGCATTCCGTTTTGGGAATAGCCGTTGATCATTGAGTTCCAGGCTATTGTGTCCCGATATGGCATTTCCGTAAATAATTCATGTGCTTCCCGAATCTGATTATTATCCAGATAACCCCTTATCATTGCTGTCCGTGCCACTATATCCTTCTCAGGCATGGCATTGAAAAAGGTCCTAGCTTGTTTCAACTCCCCTGCTCTTAACAAGCAAGAAATCATACTAGTCCATGAAACAACATCTCGGGTTCCCATCTTCATAAACAACCTATAAGAACCTTCTAGATTCCCCACGTCAGAATAACCTGCTAACATCGTGTTACAAAGTGACACAGTTTTCATAGGTACTTTGTTAAACAGCCTCTCTGCTTCACTCAAGTTTCCACTTTGAAAGTATCCATCAATCATGATTCTCCAGGATGTTGTGTTCTTAATTGGCATTTTATCAAACAGTGCCCGGCCTTCTTCTATTCTTCCATTTCTCACATACCCTGAAACCATCGAATTCCAACAGATGATATTCTTGTCAGCTACTGAATCAAACAAAAGTTTAGCTTCGTCTAGCCTTCCGTTCCTCGCGTACCCACTTAGCATGGCTGTCCAAGACACAACGTTCCTGCTTGGCATAGAATCAAAAAGCTCCCGAGCTTCTTGGATCATCCCATTCCTGGTATACCCAGAAATCATGCAGTTCCAAGTGACAACATTTCTGTTGGGTAATTCGTCAAACAGTTTACGTGCAGAGAAGACATCGCCTTCCCTAATATAACTTGATATTCTTGAGTTTGAATTGAACAACAGGCTTGAAATATAACTCAAATTACGATAAAGAACGTCACCTTTTGCAAACTTGAGATGCGCGAATGCAATTGACATAAAGTCGCGATACATGGTAGCATTCTCCTACGTGAGTACGTCTCAAATGGGCTACCTTTGATTGGGGTAAGTCAACTTAGCATGGTCCAATTACGAATTATTCAACTTCTTAATTGCAGTGCAAAATATTGTAGTCAACTAGACATAACCATGTGTTAAAGTGTATGTCAAATGTTTAATTACTTTAATACTCCCTCCGTCCCGGAGTTCTAAAAAAATGTTTGAACAATCCGCGAGTGATAGAGAGCCGGCCCCAGGGAAAACTCTAGACGGCCATCCCCAACCCCGTTCAAGATCTGATTCTACTCATTTTAGAAAATGAAGATATTCTCTATGCAATGAAAGATCGAATTAAATGTTTTTCTATATTTTCGCTCTTTTTCAATTTCTATTTTCAAGGAATTTGGTCCGACTTCTTCTTTGGCCAAGAATTTTGTCCGCTTCATGTGAGCATGTGGTATGGTATTCTCCTAACAATGTTTAGAGGTTGTGTGTTTCTCATCGATGTAATCGGTCGGTGAAACTTTTTCAACCTTGTTGTTCTAATGTTTCAAATACTCGCCCACCACCTGAACCACCGCCTCTTTCTGGGAAGAAGAAGATGATCCAGCGGATCTCCTTTTCGGTGGCTGATCAAACTGATGTTTCAAGAAATTTCTACTCGATTGATTTCCCTTTGTTGGTTGCTGATCAAACCAATTCTCCCTCTCCGGTGGCTGGTGAAGTCGGATATTTTAGTTGTAGTTTTTTAATTTCTCTTTGGAGTAGCAAGAAGATTAACAAGACTGTTAGACTAGACTACATTATTGCGAGGTTAGCAATCTGGAAGGATTCATTGAATCTGTTCCGTTCTATGTCTCATCTCATTGTAGTCTCAGGCTATTCATTCTCTTGTATTTTTGCTATCGTTTAATAATAAATTAGTTATTTGATTTTCAAAAAAATACTTCTTCTGTCCCCCTAAGGGGGCGTTTGGTAGAATGTAAAATAATTACTTTGCATGCGAAGTGTAAGGAAGTAAAATGTTTACACTGTTTGGTTTGATTATTTAATATAAACTGTAGGACACTTTTTAAAAACATTTCGCACTATACCATATAAAGTATTTTACGTAGGGGGAGGGTGGTAAAATACTTTGCATGCCTTTTATGAAGCACTGCAACGACATTGCGTGCAATTTAAAAATAAATTACACATCTAGCCAAACAATGTAATCTATTTTACATGTAAAATGATTGCTTCCATACACTTTGCATGCAAAGATTTAACGTGTGAACAACCAAATGAGCCCTAAGTTTGTCCCGTTTTACCTTGTTCGTCCGTCCTACTAAGTTTGTCTCATACCATATTTGGTAATGTTTGAGTGGTTAGAATTCATTCTTACTTTATTCACACTTTATCAATTTAATATCAACCACACAATTCTATTTTTTCTTAAAAACCACACCACACCCCTTTGTCCCAAACTTAGGGGGACGGAGGCAGTATTTGCTTAAAAAAATTGACAATAATAATCACACTTTTCACTAGCCTTCTCATAGTAATCTCACTTTTACATAATCTCACATTTGCTCCCCATCTCTTTTATTGGACCATGATCTGTTGATGACCTATTATACCAAGTTTTTTACCCCTTCTTTGAAAACCTTATATAAATAACCTCACCTTTTTAAAGATATAATAAAAAGTGAAAGGTGAGATTATTTATATGATTTTCAAAGAAAGGGTAAAAAACTGCTATAATAGATCATCAACAGGTCAGGGTCCAATGAGAGAAGATGGTGCGCAAAGGTGGATTATTGTGGGATTAGGTAAAAGGGGAATTATTATGAGAAAACCAATGAAATGTGAGATTATTTATATGATTTTCAAAGAAATGATAAAAACCTGGTATAATAGGTCATCAACAGGTTATGGTCCAATGAAAGAAGATGAAGTGTAAAAGTGAGATCATTTTGGGATTACATAAATGTGGCGTATGTGGGATTATTATGAGAAGACCGGTGAAAGGTGAAATTATTCTTGTTATTTTTTCCTATTTGTTTTTTATTCTTAGTCTTTTATTTTTCAAAATATAGCAAAAATCATATACTCACTCCATACCAAAATTAACTTTTGGGTTTGACTTCACGGACTTTTAGGCTTGAAACACATAAAAGTTGACTTTTCAAAAGTACCCTTACGTAGTAAAAAAAAAGTAGTGATCCAAATTAATTAAGTGAACAGTAAAAGTAAGTGGCAAATGAGTGCTTTAAAAGTAAAAACTGATCAAAAGTAGAAATTAAAAAAAAGAGGAAGTTAATTTTGGGACATTTGAAATAGGAAAAATGGAAGTAATTTTGGAACGTTTGAAAAGTTTGAAAAGGGAGACGCTAAAGCAACCAAAGAGTGGAGAGAGGCATACTTGGTTGTGAAAGAATGCATTTACACAGAAGGAATTAGACTTGGGAAGTTAGGAGTTGGGACTGTATCCAATGGAGAATGTTAAGTTGAAGTTCACTTCTAAGTGGTCCCATATTTTTCAAGGATGCTTCTGATTCTGATTTTCTGTTTTTTTTGTTTTCCTTTTGTTATATCAAAATATTTTTCAAGGATGCTTTTTAATTAACGACAAGTACAACGCTTTTGCCCAAACACTCGAACTTCTGTTTTTGTTCTCTAGAGAAGTAGAACAGTTTCACGGATCAAATCCAAACACCCTCTTACTCTCTTTGATACTATTTGTATAATAAAATGCCCTTTTACTCGTATTAATAGCACATCTTTAATTTCTCACTTTCTTTAATATACTTCATTGGAGGTTTATTTAGAAGATAATGAAAACAATTATTTTGACTAAAAATACTTGTTTTGACTAAAAGCACTTAACTAGAGATTATAGCAATTAGGAAACATCACCACTATATAAAGCAAGACAGCCTTGGTCGAAGTGATTTTCACACACAGCATCAAGTCAAGAAGTGTATAATACCGACAAGACTCCTTAAAATGAGAAAACCCTCCCTCCTGAAATCCAAGGGCAGAAAAACCAGTGGAGGGAAAATGAGACCGTTTGGTATCGAAACCTCCCTGGCCGCCGATATCAGGGGTATCGACGCCGGAGAAAATGACGTGTCTGCTCTGAATCCTCTCGATTGTCCGGCGGAGGCTCAGGCGCCTTCTGAACAGCAGCATCCGGAAAAGAGCGATCGAGTTGCTGCTCCGGCAGAGGACGGAGAGAGAGATTCAAGTGGTAGAGCAGAGAATATGGGCGAGCAGGGATTTGAAGAAGCCGCTGATGGTGCGTTGAATGTAGGAGAAATCCAAAGAAATCAGCTTGGTGAAGGGTTTTACGACCTCGAGGCTATAAGGAAGAAGCGAATTCGTCAGGTAAATAGTCCTATTTTTTATCCAGTCTGCGGAATGTTTATCCTGATAAATGCGCTGGCTGCATTTTTCATGGGATATGTTTCAATGTATTTTGCTCATCTTAACATTTATTGTACTAACGTTGTGCCTTTTTTTTTCTTTCTTTTGTGCAATTGCGAAAATCTGGAACCCTGGAACACCAAAAGGGTAAAGTCCAGTACTTGATCAAATGGTATGAACTTTCTTTTTCTTCTTCCTGTTATGAGGGGGGCTCAAGACCTGCATTTATTCTTGCAAATTTTACAATTTATAAGCGGTGGTACCTAAATATTTCTATTGAAAAGAATAGAATAGAAAAAACCGAAAAACTTTAGGGTAATGCCAACACCACTCTAGACACCAAGGCATTTCTGGTTTATTAGGTTCATATACACCTACTCATATATATGATAGGAGTTTGGTGTCTCTGAGTATCTGTGTCAAATTAAGTGACAGTTTGGCAAGTTTGGTGTTAAAAGTGGTGCTAATGTAGATAGAGAGCATTGTCCAAAAAATTATAATCCGAAGATTAGATAATATATGTACTAATTGTGCTCAATGATTTTATGCTGGTGAAAAGGCGAGGATGGCCTGAATCCACAAACACATGGGAGCCTATTGAGAATCTGGCAGCATGCCCAGATGTCATCGATGCCTTTGAAAAGAGGTTATACTCCTGCTATCCTTCTATATTAATTTTCTATCGATTTGTTAATAGTGATGGCAGAATATATCTCAATATGATAAGTTTTCTTTCTTCAAGATCACGGTACAAGAAACGAGGGCGTAAGCAAAAGTCCAACTCTAGCAATACTGGATCAACCAAGAAGCAGCGCTCTTCCACTCCAGCTGCTTCAAATGATAACACAAGCCATTCTGCTCCTCCTGCTTCTAAGAAAAATGCAACCACTCGTATTGAAACCAGGCAAAGCAGGCAGCTTTCCACTAAAACTGTTAAGGGTAAGAAGGCTCAAGCTACCAGCTCATTGGATGAGTCTGGCTTGAGCATGGGGAATCAATTGCATAATAAGCTTTCTAGCGTGAGAGTTTCTGCAAGAAGTGGGGAGGAGCTAAATGAAGGTCTTGTAACAACCAATGGTTCCAGTCTATCCTCAGAGCAGGCTCAAGTTCCTGGAGATTTTGTGCCTATTGAGACTAAAAGAAGGAAGGGTCCTGCTTCACGGTTTCTGAAAGATTTATCGGCCAATGCAAGTAATGATGTCCCCGAAAAGGTGGTAAGGGCTCCTGGTACTACTAGTAGTAGTCCAGTTGCTAAAGAAGATTATGAAGACGGGTGTAGCATTACTGAGATTGTTGACATTTTTAAATTTGATGATTCTGCTTCCAATTATACCACTGATGTTCTGGAAATCTTTGTGGTTAAGAGGTTTGTTCAACTCATTTCTCACTTTCTGCATTGTGATGACTAGCTTTTCAAGTTGTATGTCTATAGTTTTTACTTGAATCTTATTTCTCTCTGTAATGTTCTATGTGTGACTATTAATATTTGGTTGTGTTTTTGTTTTACTATTAATCTGTAAAGGTCCGATGGGAAAGAGGTGATGGCAAACAAGGGGTTTCTGAAGGAGAACTATACTTCCCTGGTATCAATTTTTCTAATGCTCATTTCTAGTTGAATCTTTAGTTTGATGAGCAAAAACTTATTAGAATTATTATCATTATGGATTTGACAGTTGATTGACTTCTATGAGAGACTTCTTCGGGAGTTCATAAAGGCGCGAGCTTGATGAGTTTAGTGGCTGGGGAATGGCGGGGAGTGGGTAGGTTGTTGTAGCTTTAGCTTGAGAATACATGAGTTATCACTTATTAGTAGCCTTTGTCCATGTATACTAGTGTTGTTGTACTGCTTTGTAGCAGGAAGCTCTAGTGTAGTAGTAATGTGAGATGAGTTATGGGGCTTTCTGGGAGTTATATGGAATGACAGGGATGCACAATACAATTCACAATGTTGATTGAGGCAGAAGCAGTCAAGCAGACCACAGGCAGTTTCTTTATCGTGAATTTTGTTTATTCTAATTTGGTAGTTAATCTGTTTGAACTTTTATATATTTAGCCATTTTTAGAAAGGAATATTTGGTATATACACAATTACACTTCACTTCTATTTCGATATTTGACTTTTAAGTTTTCCCTTCATGCTGTGTTTTCTTTGACTGTACATCTTGATCGGGGTTCAAAATCAAATAGTGACCTAAATTATGGGTACAAAATAATGAATGAGAACGATGTCTGATAGAAGTAATACTTTTGAAGTACAAAACCAAGCAGAATAATATGAGATGCTGGAGTAGAAAAACAATATGGAACAATGCCAATAAAAGAAAATGTAAAAGGTAGGTGTGGACAAGGTCATGATTTTGGCCTATTGGGAGTTTGGGACTAACTGGCTTTTTAACCGATATGGGTTTTTCCGGTTCAGGGCCATAGCTGAGAGGCTAAGACCGGGTATAGCCGGATGGCCTATAGCACAAATCCTGGGGTTCAGGGGTTCGTTTTTGGGACTAGGGCAGGCCTCCAGTCTAGGACTCGGTCTTGAGCAGGTCCTGAGCCTGAGCCCTGAGTAACTACTTTAGGATTGACCGGCCAGGGACCGGAAGCGGACCGTGTGCATGCGTACCATGAGAGAGGCATAAATTGAAAATTGGAAAGCGAAAATAGAGACCAAAAAGGTGACCCAAACTCGAAAAATACAGAACACGAGTATCCTATGTTATGCAACAAAAATTTAAATAATTTTATTTTAAAACTTCATAAATAAACAAAAAGAGTATCAAATGGTCAATCATGGTAAATTTCAAAATTTAGACTTCAAATATGAAATATTATACACATACTTAAAACTTTAAAGTTAAATAATGCGAACTCGATATCTATATTCTTTTGTCAAAATACATTAGATTCATATTCTTTAACAAAATAGATTTCAAATTTGGATCATTAATAAGAAGATTGGTATCTATATTCTTTTGTCAATATACATTAGAGTCATATTCTTTAACCAAATAGATTTCAAATTTGGGTCACTAATAGGAAGATTGGTAGTTTTGATTATCCCTAAATCTTCTCTCGTGTGGTAGTGTGTATATATCGTTTTTTTAAGAAAGAATGTATATATTGTTTTAAATGTGCGTAGTTGCGTACCAATTCAGGGAATTAGGGATACCCAATACAAGTATCAGAAGTTTTTCTCTTTTAAAAATGGGTCCAAAACTTTCATGAAATTATGAATATAGGTCTAACATATTGTACATGTATTGGTGAGTGTCGATATGGAATGTGTATATGATAAACTGATACGTGTACACTGCATGACAAAGTATTGATGCATCATAAGATCAAAATAAAACGAGATTGTGGAGCGCATTTTTTTTAGGTGTCCAAGATAAAAAAGCGCTGAAAATTAGAAGTCTAGAGAAGCTCGACTTAATAGCGAGAGTGCGAGACCATCAAACTGGCTTTTTGTTGTACTGTCAATCGTTTGGAAAACTAGGAACTCCCGAATTTTGAAGGGGCTACTTTTGGAATCATAATATACTTTTTGTAAAGAAAACTTTTAACTTATAATTTCTGTTCTGATGATATGATAAGCTACTAGGCCAGTTTAGAATGTACTACGAGATTTTTTCTTATTTTTCATCAAGACTTATCTGGAATAAGATGTGTCTCTAGATTGATTGACATTGTTGTTGATAGCTAATTGTTTACTTTGTAGTCAAGTGCTAAACATTTGTTGTGTGTTTACTAACATTTTTTGAATGACATTTCTCAATGCTCAAAATTCATTGTAGTATGAATTACTTCAACAAAAAAATAGCACGATTATATAATTTCAAAACTATTACCACAGCAATATCTTAAAGTTGAACATTTTCTACTAATCTATTCGCTATTTCATCCCGCAAATTCATCATACATTATTATATTGTATACTTTGTGTATCCCATTGCGCCGCGTCTACTTCCTCTCTACTTCCTTGGCCTTCATCTTGTGCTTCGATTATGAAGGAAAACATTCCCCAAGTGTGCACAAATATGCTGGAAAAACAAACAGAAACTATATATGCCAAGAAAACAGAAAAAATGCTAATATTTAATTGCCAAACTTTGTTCTAAAAACTACTCCGTATCTGATGAATAAAAATTCTACCATTATATTATATATATGTAATTTGCCAAAAATACTGGCACAGCTAAAATAATTAATTGTACAAACAATCAGAAAGCTCATACAATTGTTAGATTATTTGCGCAAGTTGACTAGCAACCTGATGATCAGGTGTGTTGAAATATAAACTAAAATGATACGGAGTATTAAAGATGGAGAGAAGGATTTTCATTAGTTGTGTAAGTCCCTATAAATATACATTACAAATAGAATATTCCTATATAAGATTCTATACAATAATAATACTTTAAAGTATATTCCTAAAATATTCTGAAGTATATTCTAATATTCTAAAAGTATATTCTATATCTTTCACACTCCCCCTCAAGTTGGAGCATAGATATTCATCATGCCCAACTTGTTACATAAATAACCAACTCAGATCCCATTTAGTGCTTTAGTGAACAAATCTTCAAGTTGTTCTCCAGTCTTCACATATCCCGTAGAGATCAATCCTTTCTGTATCTTCTCTCGAATAAAATGACAATCAACCTCAATATGTTTTGTTCTCTCATGAAATACTGGGTTGTTGGCAATGTGTATAGCAGCTTTGTGTCTTGGTGTCTTCAATCCGATTTCACTCAATAAATGGCATATCCATATGATCTTACATGAAGATTGTGCCATAGCTCGATATTCTGATTCGGCACTTGAACGAGAAACCACACTTTGTTTCTTACTCTTCCGGGATACTAGGTTCCCTGCTGAAAACTGTGTCTGCTTTCTTCCCTGCTGAAAGAAGGCTACCTCGGCACGAGTCCTCACAACCGGCGCTGCAATTGTAATGACAGTGCCCTGCAAAGATTGAATCACGAGGAATAAGTAAGGTCACCTTCAAAACTCAATATGCATAATGCATTATAAATCAGTTATAAAATATGGCAAAATGTCATTAGCACTGCAAGCACATGCAAAGAAAAGTAGAACTTTTCACTAAAAGAAGACACACAATGAAGTGTGAAGAAAACCCTTTCATAGAATCACAAGCATAACATTTGGTAAGTAATATACCTGAATAAAAGTGGGCGTACTTTTATTACAATGTTTTACCGAGACCTTAGACCTATATTAAACGACTACTCTGTATACACTCGGTCCTTCCAAAAAAGGAGAACCATTTGAAAAACAGTTTTTGCTCGAAAATGTAGTCCTGTTTGAAGAAAAGGAATAAATTCTCATTATAGTAAATGTTTTTCATTTTCAAAGAAGGTCCCAAACAACTTTAAGTACGCTACTATGTTTAGTTTTTTTTTTTTGAAAACTAAAATATATTGATGAAGGAAATAAAAAATGAATGGGGGGCAGACCGTACCCAATAGTTACAGATATTGCCAGATAAAAGGAATTCCTGACCAATCAGAATTAATAGCTAAATGGATACTAACAGTAAAGAGGAAAATTTAAAACATATATATGTATCCGAAAGGTCTTTGAGCATGTGTAGCAATATAGTGAGCCGGAATGTTTAGTTTAATTCAACCAACAAATAAGGTATAAAATATAGCTAGAATTGATGATTTAAATAGTTGTGCCTTTCTAAAATTAAAAGGTTATACCTTTGTGAATATGGCATTGTTTTATTGGGGGGCGGATTCAGTAGTTTTTGGCTTTCTGCAATATCTCAAGTTAAGTGTATGAATTGACTCCCATTAGCATGCCCTAGTGAGCATCGAGGTATTCCCATTCATAATGACCTCTTAAAACAGATTCTTGCAGAGTATCTCTGTTGTTTGTATATGTTGAACCATCCCACTCTCATGTTGGATTCTTTACTGCATGGCATCTGCTCTTTTAGCTTCCCGGTGACATTTGAAGTTAAAATGGCTAACCGCTGTTAGTTATAGCCTCCATAAGAATCACCACAGATCACGACAACTACATGTACCATCCTTGAATAAGTGAAACCGGTTAGCATCCCTTACTAATATCTCTCTGTTCACTACTTTTGATATATACTTGGTTGCAGTATGGCAATCCCCACAAACCCTGAGGTTCTTCATTATTTGAAGAGGAGTCCCTGGTTTTGTGTTTATTAACCCAAATGCTATGGCTATCCGTTCACTGTGCCCGCAAAGCACCTCCACCTTCTCATCATCGTCCACATCATGCAACACACTGTGTAGGTCTGCTACGTAACCTTCTTTAGCCATCAAACCATAAAGAATCCATAATAGATTCTTAACCTCTGCATACTGTTCGAACAACCTGTCTCCGGCAATAAAAACATAAACCTTATTGTTTATCTCCACCCAGCTAGATCCGGGTTCTTTTTTCATCCCCCTTGACTTGATAGATTTTCTTATCTTCTTCACTTTGTCCCAATTTCCCAATGTTGCGTACACGTTGGACGCAAGAACGTGATAGCCTGGATCATCTGAATTCAAATGAGAGAGATTGTGGAGGGCCCGCTCAGCAGTTTTGGTGTCCCCACTTGACCGGCAAGCACTCAAAAGAGCGCCCCAAATAGTAACATCTGGCTGGATTGGCATGGAGAGAATAAACTCCTCCGCTTCAGAAACTAGCCCGGATCGAGAAAATAGGTCCACCATGCATGCATAGTGTTCTAGTCTGGGCTCCATGTGATACTCTCTCTTCATCTGGTCAAAGTGGGTTCGGCCTTCTTCTACAAGACCTGAATGGCTACATGCATATAAGATGGAAACAAACACAATATGATCGAGAAGGATTCCGGGTGTTTTTTTCATATCATCAAAAACTCCCAGAGCTTTCTTTCCTTCGCCATACATTCCATAAGCAGTTATCATTGAAGTCCATGTGACTATGTCTCTTTCCATCATGCCGTCAAAGACCCTCACAGCAGTCGTCAAGGTCCCACTTTTTGAGTACATTTCAATCAGGGCATTGCCGATCAGGACATCTGATTGGAAACCAAGCCTCAGAATCTGGTTGTGAATTTCTTTGCCTTTCCATTTGGCGGCAAGAATGGAACATAGAGGGAGGGAGACTAAAAAAGTAGTGGCATCCGGCTCAATTCCATCATATCTCATCTTCCTAACCATTCTGAATCCCATAGCACAATCCTCTCTACATGCTGTGATTATAGTGTTCCATGTGACAGTGTCTTGAGAGTCCATGTTGTGGAAATGTTTGAGAGAGTCATGGATGTGTCCACATTTGGCATACATATCCACCAAGGAATTTCCAAGAATCAGAATGGATTCAAATCCTCTCTTCATTATGTCAGAGTGGAGTTGTCTAGCGAAATCTATGTTTTCCGCTTGTGTACATACTGATAGAAGTGTCACATAAGTTGCAGAATCAGGAACTGTTTCCCTCTTCATTGTTTTGAAAAGTTGTATTGCATCCGTGTAGGACCCATTTTCAGCATATCCGTTGATTAAACAGTTCCATGATACTGAATCCCTGCATTTCATTCTGCTGAAAACATCTCTTGAAGCCTTTAATTCACCACATTTTGCATACATGTTGATTATGATGTTGTTAGCCGTGATGTCGCATTCGTATTTGTTTTTAACTATGAAGTCGTGATGAATATACTTCCCTAACCTCAAGTCTCTTACATGACCACAAGCATTCAGAAGGGAAGCTAGTGTCATCAAATCCGGTCTAATACATTCACAACCGTCCATTTCTAGAAACAGTTGGATCGACTCGTTATATAAACCCAACTGTGAATACCCACAAATCATAATGTTCCAGGTGACTGTGTCTCTGTGAGTCATCTCAGAGAAGAGCATCTCACAATCCATTGGCCTCTCAAGCTTAAAGTACATTGATAGCAATCCGTTATTAACAGTTATATCTTTTTTAGTTCCTACCTTCTCCACCAACCCGTGAACTATCTGCCCCTGTGTGACCTTCAGCAGTCCCCCACATGCTGGTAAAACATTCGACAGAGTAAAAGAATCAGGCTCCACTCCAAATAATCTAGCCTGATGAAAAACTTCAAGAGCTTCTTCCCAATACCCGTTGGCACTATATGCAGAGATGAGAGTATTCCAAGAAACCACATCTTTACTAGGCAATCCATCAAACATTTCCCGTGCTCGCCCCAAATCATTCATCCTAGCGTACATATCAATCAGAGCATTACCAATATACAAATCCGACTGGAAACCCATTTCTAGCACGTGCCCATAAACAACTGTTCCCATCTCAAAGTCGGATAAACTGCCGCAGGCATTAATAACTGAGGGGAAAGTATAGTTATCCGGCTTAATATCTGATTTTCTCATATGCGAATAAAACTCCAACGCCGTAGAGAACTGTCCAGTATGGGTCATGGACCTGATGATGGTATTCCACAAATATACATTTTTTGTCTGTGAATTTAAGTGAAAAACGGCCATTGAAGAGACTGGGTCTTTGATCTCTGAATACCTGGAAATGAGTTTGCCGGATAAGAACACAGAGTGCTGGTGGCCTGACAAGATTATAAAGGCGTGAACTTTGTGTACATCTCTTGGGTTTTTAGACAAAGACAATGCTTTTGAAATTAAAGTAAATAGAGAGTCGTGGCTTCTTTGTGTTTGAGTGTAGAGCTTGCAGCTGCTCATAGATGAAGCAAATATCTTTTGCAACATTCCATTTACTAGAGGGGCGGCAGACGTTCTATGCAGGCATACAGAGAGGGCCTGCTCAAAAATTATCAAGCTGTCGCTTCACAGCGCACATTCTGTAAATGGAATATGTGCTTTGACCATTCTGGAGATCATACGATCATCCAAACTCCATTTGACAGTCTTTTGAAGAAGATGTTCCAAATTGGAAGTGATTAATTTTAAATGGTAAAGGGAGCAGACACTGGAACTAATTTAAAAAGTGTAAATAGCTATGTCCAACCGCCGCTATTTGGAACGGTTTCGGGTGGAATTTTTTGAGGAATTTTTTAAGCTATCTTATTCATTAAGTCGAGTTTACTTATACCAAATTTCAACTAAAAATTTAATGGGGAAGACAGTCAAATAAATTTTTGGAGATAACTGCGCAGTTAAACAGCGCAGTACATTTCAGAAAATCATTTGATTGTCTTCCCGGTTGAATTTTTATCTGAAATTTGGTATGAGTAAACTAGACTTAATGAAGAAGATGCTAAAAAAAATCATCAAAAAAATTCACCGGAAACCGCGCCAAATGACGATGACCGGAAAGAGCCTCCTATATAAAAGGTGATTTGTACTTTTTTAAGTTAGTTCAAGGATTTATTTAACCTTTTAGCCATTTTAAATTGAGAAAAGTATCAATATGGTACCTCCACTTGTCACCCATAGAATAAAGAGTACATAATTTTGTGTGAGATACTTCAAAGTACATCAATTTAATTTTTAGGAGGCGTTTACTTCGCTGCTAAAGTCACAGTTAGGTTAGTAAGACATGTGAAGTAAACACGCACGCTGCTTAAAAAACCGCTTACTAACCGAAATAGGTGCTTAAAGTGCCGCTTACTAAGCCTACCACACCCCCATGTATTAATTAAGCGGCACTTTAAGCTTTTTCAGTTTCCGAATTTACCCCTTGCCCTTACCCTATTGTTACCCCTGACCCACCTACCTACCGACCCCACCTTGACCCCAACCCCACCTACCCCACCCCTACCCTACACCTTCTATCCCGACCCCACCCTACCCTTACCCTTACCCCACCCCTACCCCCTACCTTACCTACCCCACCCCTACCCTACCTAACCGACCCCCACCCTACCCTTACCCCACCTACCTGACCCCACCTTACCCCTACCCTACCCCATCCTACCCCTACCCGACCCCACCCTACCACTACCCTACCTACCAGACCCAACCAGACCACAAACCTACCCCACCCCTTACCCACCTACCCAACCCCACCCTACCCCTACCCTATCCCGACCCCACCCTACCCTTACCCTTACCCCACCCCTACCCCCCTACCTTACCTACCCCACCCCTACCCTACCTAACCGACCCCCCACCCTACCCTTACCCCACCTACCTGACCCCACCTTACCCCTACCCTACCCCATCCTACCCCTACCCGACCCCACCCTACCACTACCCTACCTACCAGACCCCACCCCTACCCTACCTACCAGACCACAAACCTACCCCACCCCTTACCCACCTACCCAACCCCACCCTACCCCTACCCTATCCGACCTCACCCTACCCCTACCCTGACCCTACCCCATACCCCGCCTGAACCCACCCTACCTACCCGAACCCACCCTACCACTACCCCACCTACCCAACCCCACCCCTACCTTACCTACCCGACCCACCCTACCACTACCTGACCGCAGTCACCCCACCTACCCCATCCCACCATATACCCCGACCCCACCCTTTACCCCCACCCTATACCTAGGGTGGTGGGGTTGGGGTGGTGGGGTCGGGGTGGGGCCAATGTGATAGAGGCGCTAGGGGCAGAGTAGGTGCGGTGGGGTCGGGGGTAGGGTTGCGGCAGAGTGGGTAGGGTAGGGGTAGGGTGGGATTGGGTAGGGTAGTGGTAATCGGGGTAAGGTAGGGTAGGGGCGGGGTTGGGGTAAGGTAGGGTAAGGTGGGGTCAGGGTGGGGTCGATGCGGTAAGGGGGTATGGGGGTAGGGGCCTATGGTGTTCGGGGTAGGGTCGCGGTAGGGTGGGATCGGGTAGGGGTAGGGTCGGGTAGGTAGGGTAGGGGTAGGGGGTAGGTGGGGTCAGAGTAAGGTAGGGTGGGTAAGGGGTTAGGGGGTATGGGTACACATTTATATTATATACTTGTGTTCATGAATGTTTGTGTGTGTATATATGTATAGGGTTATTTTGGACATTTTAATGTTAAGCGGTGTTTTAAACCGTTTGAAGTAAACACAGTCTTACAACATTGTTTATTTTATGCACCGCTTATTAACACGGGTCTTAATAAGCACCGTTTAATAACCGGTGAAGTAAACGCCTCCTTAGTGTCAATTTAGTATGTCCATTAAAAATGATAACTTGGTTAATAGGTTCGGTTAAAAAATTCCACCCCATATGTTCCCATTCATCAAGCAGTCCCCAATTAGTGCCCTCTTCCACCAAATGTTGTTTCTCTTCATTAGTTTTTCACAATCGTTGATTGTTAGGCTTCCCGCTCTTTGTTATTTAGTAACCCCGCAAACAACCCCCACATAGGTTATACTCATCGCAACTTTGTATTTACATGGAAACGGAATCCCATCAAGTTTCAAGGAATTATGTAGTACGTAGGAATAAGAAGAAGATAAAAAGAAGAAGGGAAAAGGTGCAAATAGGCCCATGTACTAACCAAAAAAGATCAAATAAGCCCTTATTTAGGAGACTCTGTCCGGCCGTCGTCATTTGGGGTGGTTCCGGGTGGAATTTTTTGATGAAAGATTTTGAGCAATCTTATTCATCAAGTCTAGTTTACTCATACCAAATTTCAGCTAAAACTTCAATCGGGAAGGCATACAAATGAATTCTTGAAAATAATTGCGCAGTTAGAAGCGCAGTTATCTTCAAGAATTCATTTGAATGCCTTCTCGATTGAAGTTTTAGCTGAAATTTGGTATGAGTAAACTAGACTTGATGAATAAGATGCTAAAAATTTTTCATCAAAAAATTCCAACGGGAACCACCCCAAATGACGACGGCCGGACAGAGCCTCCTAAATAAGGGCTTATTTGACCTTTTTTGGTTAGTACATGGGCCTATTTGCACCTTTTCCCAAAGAAGAATAAGATATACTACGGACTCCGTATAGAAATATAAAGCAAAGCAGGAGAAGAGAAAAGACGAACGGAAGAAAGAAGAGGAGATCAGGAGATGCAGTAAAGTCCTAAGGTAATTAGGAATAATAGAAGTGAATAGGTGTAACACTTGAGATTTAATATAAACGGATTAATAGTACTACTCATACCAACAGAGGTGCATCTCCTTTTAAGGGAGCTCATTAGCCAAGAACTCCAAAGTTAAGCGTGCTTGCACGGGAGTAGTCTTGGGATGGGTGACCCCCTGGGAAGTTTCTCAGGGCGCGCACGAGTGAGGACAAAGTGCGCGTAAAAGGCTAGTGGCGGTTTGTGAGGATAGTACTATTGGTCCGGAGTAACTACCTCGGGTCCCACGGGGCCGGGGTGTTACAATAGGCGTTGACCGGGAGAATACAGGTAAAAATAAACAGTTCATCTTTGCCATTTCACCTTTTTTTAACAGAAAAGAGTTAAAAAATGTGTACTCAATTAATACAGAAAAATCAAGTTTAGGTACTTCGTTGTATTCATTGCATGATTATGTACTCCCTATGTCCCTCAAAGAAGTTCTCATTTAGACCTACACACATATTAGGGAAATAAACTTATCAGGGGTTAAATTTTATTGTTTTGACATTGTTTGACACTGTTTGACACTGTTTTGATATAGATAATTTGTCATTTAAAGAAAGGGGAACTTTTTGGGACTGCTAAAAAAGGAAAGCAGAAACTTCTTTGAGGAACGGAGGGAGTACTATTTTTGCTAGGGAAAAGTAACAAATCAGCCATCGAGCTAACTTAAAAAGTGCAAATTAAATCACCCCTTATATAGAAGGCTCTATCAGGCCGTTGCCATGTGAAGCGGTTCCCGGTGTAATTTTTTGATGAAATTTTTTTAGCATCTTCTACATTAAGTTTAGTTTAGTCATACCAAATTTCAGTTAAGCATTCAATCGGGAAGGCAGTCAAATGAATTTTTGAAAATAACTGCGTAGTTAAACAGCGCAGTATATTTCAGAAAATCATTTGACTACCTTACCGGTTGAGTTTTTAGCTGAAATTTGGTATGAGTAAACTAGTCTTAATGAAAAAAATGCTCAAAAAAGTTTCATCAAAAAATTCCACCGGGAACCATCCCAAATGGCGATGGTAGGACAGAGTCTCCTAGATAAGGAGTGATTTGCATTTTTTTAATTTAGTTAGAGGGGTGATTTACTACTTTTCCCTTTTTACTATGGGAGACAAGTTTAATGTACGGTATTGACACTTTTCTCATTTTAAATTTGTTTTCTCAGGTTTCTTTTTACTCCGTAGTTTTGACATGAATGAATTGGTAAGCATTAGTATTCATTCTTTCTTTACATAATTTGCCTATTTGCATTAGTATTCCCCTTAAGGTCTTAACGGGAGGAGTCAAGAGTGAAGAGTAAGCAAAAGATGAAGATATCATTTCAAAGGCACACATGCTACCTTAATTCTTAAATAAATTAAATTAGTACTGTTATCTTTTAGTACCTTAACTCTTAATAAATTAAATTAGTACTATAATCATGTATAGTTGTTTCAATTGGCAATATTACTCAAATTTACAGAAAAGATTCTTACATGACAATCAAAATTTGTGTAGTCTATCCTACAAATATGACATGGACAAAAGTAAGGTGAACTGGAGTTTACACATTGAATTTTGGCTGTCACACGTGATTTTTTTGAAGAGCTTTGAATAATATTGTCAATTGAAACATTAACGTATATTTATGGTACTGATTTGATTTATTTAAAAGTTAAGGTAACAAAACACATCACTATCAATTTTTAATGTACCATTTATGCATTTCACCATAGCTTATTGTGTTTCCTTCTTTGGAAATTGAATCATTCCTCTACATCTACCAAAATAGTATTAATTCTTCACATAAATTGAACTTTCAATTCTTAATGTACCATTTATGCATTTCACCACAGCTTATTGTGTTTCCTTCCTTGGAAATTGAATCATTCCTCTACATCTACCAAAATAGTATTAATTCTTCACATAAATTGAACTTTTGAACATAAGTGTTTA